TCTTAAAAGTAACAACAAACCACATATTGTTCAATTCCTCTTTCTAACACTACCCAATGACTTTCTATATAGAGTCTTCCCCTAAATATGAGAACCTACTGACTTTCTTCTCAATAACACAACCCATGATTGAAGATTACAACTCAATAATTAATGTTGAATACTACCACTCAACTCTAGACAAACCTTATATGCAATGTTACTGAAATATAGAGGTGTAGATACATAAATTCTAACACTCTAAATCTTCAATGTATTGCTTAACTTCTAAGGTAAGTTTTGAGCTCCTTATATAGCATAATAACTCTGAGATTTTCTTCATGGATTTGAGATTTGATTTTGTCCAAAATTAATGCAGAATTTGTTGGATATTTGATTCGTTCCTTAGATATCTCCAACAAAATATGATTTATTTTAATTTAAATTAATCTTCATTTAAATCAGAATCAATCTTTGTCCAATAGCCAAATAAATCATTTAATCATATTGCTAATTCAATTAGCAATAAAGTAGAAGTGAATCTTCTCAAAAGATTAATTCAAAACGCAACAAGTTGGCACCTGTTGAGTAAGACTCATATGTCGTACCAACATGCTGGAGAATCGCGCCCAACATGTGTCCCTTTTACAGCTTAAGCAAGCTAGACCAATCTTGAATACTTGGACACTTCTCCATCTTGTTGTTTTGCTAAATGCAACCAATCCAAAAAAAACTAATCTAATAGGAGCTACAATCACCCCTTTGGTAAATTATGAAAAACAACTCTTCAAGATAAATAACACTTCTTCCATCAAAACAAATGACAACCAGTAAAACTACTAGACTTTTAGAGCATTCAATCAGCAGCAGCAATCATCTCTCACATTATCAGAGTTATGCATCAGCAACATAAGACATAAGCATCCACATTCACATACTTACACATAATCCATTTAACTGTTACAAACCAAACAGGAAATCATGCAATCATTCATAGTATTGCATGCACATTGGTTATGCGACGACGACATCATGCAGTGGTGGATCAGTGAGTTAGATGTTAATCTCTTTGTGAAGATTATAAACTGGTGACAGTGGTAGTGATGAAAGCTTCTTCTTCGCTCTTTTTTATGCTTTATTGAAATAGTTTTGTTTGTTACCAGTTATACGAAGGTTTCAGGATGTGGCGGCAACAAAGATGTCATGCGGTGGTGAATCGCTTTCTGAGGATCTTAAACCGGTGACGACGATAGTGATGAAAACCCCATCGTGAAATATTTTGTGAAGTTCACATGACAATACTATGATACTCCAATCATTTTCAAACCCAAATTAGTAGGTGTGTAAGCGGATCCGAAAAAACCAATTAAACCGACAATTCAAACCAAACCAAACTGAAAAAAATTCAATTGTCTCTGGTTCGATTTCAAACTGAAGTGGTTTGGTTCGATTCTCGCTTTTAGTTTTTATGAACCGCCAAACCGATGAATCGAACCAATGACTATAATTATGCTCTAAATCTTTTATTTCACCCATCATTAAGCCTAAATTTTGTATTGGTCCGACCATTCTCCATCTTTATTTACGCTTCGTTCCTTTCAGCAAAATACACAACTAGAACCAAACTTCAAACGTAGAAAGCAGAAACCATAAGTCCAAACATAGAAAGTAGAAATCATAAGTCGCAAAAGTTTAATTTAACCACCTTCTTTGTGTTCAAGTTCTCATCGTTATGGACGCCACCTTCTTTGTGTTCAAGTTCTCTTCGTTAGTTTTCATTTTTTTACCTTTTATGTTTCTTCTTCTTCAACTAAATTTCTTCTAGTCTTGTTACAAAATAATTTTGATGTGTGTTTGAGGTGTGAAACATGTTAATTTATGTGTATTAAAAAAATTTATTGTTATTGTTGTGTTTTATTTATTAAGCTTTCAAATTCCTTCCCAACTTTTTGACGGCAAGTGTCAACTTTTATATTAGTGAACTTATTTCATGATGTAATGAAAATCATGTCAGTGTTTCGTATGAATTAAGAACAACTTATAAGTTGTTTGAGAAAATAGAGTATGAATTAAATTATATGAAATGTATTATTTAAAATAATAATAACATAAAATACACCGAAAAATATGATAATAGAGAATACACAAAAAAATATGATATTTGAAAAAATAAATAAATAAATAAATAAATAAGTCATTGTTTCGGACATGTTTTTATCAAAAACTTATCCAAACCGAACATATTACACCCCTACAAATTCGGTACTCTAAAAAAATCACTCTAAACACAACTCTCCAACAGATCCACAATATAATTCTTCTCGTTATTCAACGGTTGAAACTTATACAAACCGATGAAACTCGTTGGTTATGATAAACCATTTTGTAGTGGATCATTTCGTCTTTGATCAAGTGAAATTTGTTAGTTATGAACAGTGTATTTGTTGGATCACTCTAAACACAACTCTCCAACAGATCCAAAATATAATTCTTCTCGTTATTCAACGGTTGAAACTTATACAAACCGATGAAACTCGTTGGTTATGATAAACCATTTTGTAATGGATCATTTCGTCTTCGATCAAGTGAAATTTGTTAGTTATAAACAGTGTATTTGTTGGATCTTTGTGAACATTGCGTGGTTAAGAGAAAATAAAAATATTTGTGAAAGCCGGATTGTCCTTGTACTCATCGGTATTTTGTATGGATTTTTTCCCTATATTATTAATATTATTTTACTTTAAAAGAATAACCTAGGCGGAGTATTATTATTTTGTTTGGATGCTTTACAATTTTAGTAATGCAATAAAAGTTTGCAAGATTTGTAAACAGTTTTATAAATGCTTATTATTTGGCCGACCAATTTCTTTATTCAATCATTTAAACACTAGTATTTGATAAATTTCTTGACTTACATAAAATCTTTACCCTATTTTTGTCAAGGAAACCTAATCCACTAAAGGATTTGCGCCTTTGACGTCGATTCCATGACCTCCATGATTCTTGTTTATTCAAATAAAGATGATGCCATAAGTGCGAGCCTTTTCTTTTAATACATTCAAGTTTGCTTTAATCGACCACCAAGTCTCCAACTTCCAACCAAACTCTGCTTTGAATCTTTTAGCTACTCTTTTTTAATATTGTCTTTTACCAAATTCAACTTGCAAAGCACACAAAATATCTACAACCTTAAACAAGCCTTATCCACAAGAAAAGGTTCTTAAAAGCACACATAAATATTGTGCCTTAAGGAACAACAAATTAGCAAAATTTACAAACTGCATAGATGATAGATCAATCTTCTTCAAGCTCTTAGTTCTTTTGATAGAGGTAATAAAACCCAGAAAAATGAATGGTCGCAAGTAAAACAGTAATTCTGAAGGCGTGTGTGTGCATATTTTGTGCCATTATATACAAATCCACTTTCTACTCTCATGGTAACATTTCTAATATGATAACCTACAGCACCCAATTTAAGAAGATGGCAGGTGTCTGCCAAATAATAGTACTCGAAAACATTAAGATTAGCAAATACAACTCTTATGCCACAGAGCATGTTACAAATGGTAGTGGTTGCTGACTATTTTTTTCAGTCTATCTTTTATTCAATGTTGCAATGGTTCTGAAAAAGAAGGTTAACCTTTTTAAGAGTACACACTACACAGTATAATAGCCCTTAACAATTTATGAATAAGAGAACTAACTAGTTTAGAATTTACTTTAGAATCAGCTATCTACCAGAAGAGACATGCCGTAATTCACAATCACTACCTACATGTATGTGACATAAATTAGGCATGTGTGCCCAAAAGTTTGTAAATCTGCGGCAAGGTACATACTTCTGATTCAGACTGTAATTTAGCCCCATAGAATCTTCATATACTTCCTCAAGAATCAGTTTGTGCAAAGTAGAGGGGATGATCGTCGTAGTTACAATCAACAATCAAACATTTGAATCTACATAAGAGACATCACAATGAAAATGCATAAAATTATTATTTCCTCATAAAATTTAAATCAATAAAAGACAACTGAGAATGTTAATCTGGACAATGGCAATATAAATCCAAATAAAGAAATATAGTACATTCTATATCAAACAGCAAAGACCATCCTAAAAAATCAATATAAAAAAAGATCAAATCTGACCATGCATCACAAATATAAATACAAATTTACCATATGAGGAGGATGCCAACACAATGAAAGAGGTAATGACATCATTAAAGTGACCCACCAATCATTTGCATGAAATTGATCTCAATGTCATTTAGCACCTCAGTGTAATGCACCAAATACAGAGCAAATAAACAAGCTCATTGCATTTCCTACATCCCACTTAATTAACAACCCGTACTAAAAACCAAAAGAACATTCAATTAACTATGTTTCAAACCATAGTACACTTAAAGAAAAGCCATAACCTCAATCAATCCTAGGTAAACAAAGTCATGCTTGAATAAACATTTTATCTAAGTGCTTAGGATCTAAGTACTTATTTTATGTATAAGCTATTTCTATAACAAAAGGTAAGATAAACCCATAGGGTCTCCTTCAATTGACTTATTTAAATTTATCTACAGACATAAGTTTTGTAAGATTGTTTAGGAGAATTTATGGAAACTAGATATGTCATTTTGTAACTTATTTCTATAAGTTCTCCAATATAGTTTATAGGATAAACAAAAATAACTAAACTTTATTTTATCTTTCGTTATAGAAATAGCATATATAAACTTATACATAAACTCATCAAGATAAGTGTTTGTGCTATAGATATAGGCCTTAGTTTAACTTAGTTTAATCAAGGGAGCATTGATATGTACATGTTATATAGGCTTCCATAAGCTTCTCAAACATTCTCACAAGTGATTATCACAATGTATAAGCTCAAATAAGTAAATTTAAACGAAAACTATTTCTATTACAAGCAATAAGAAAGAGTATCAATTTTTTCGAAGCACAATGAGATAGTGATTTTACCATGTGATTGCTGACCTGAAGAGAAGACATAATCCCTTCTATTTATTACTATCATTAGGAGACATGTGAGGGTGGGAATGAGAGTGAGGATGAGGAGGCCAATCCCTATGATGCATCATGTTAAAGGGATGCGACCGGTAAGAAGAAGAACCAGAAGGAGGATGTAAAGCCATTCCCATATGACCATGAGGATGCGGCGGCATACCAAGTAAAGGCATAGACATCATCGGCGGAGGCGGCGGTGGATAAGGCATAGAAATCGTAACAGAATGATGCGAATGCGAGTTCCCATGTCCATTCGATTGCGAATGAGAATTCACAGCAGAAGCAGATTCATGCAAACTCTGAGGAACAGGAGTAGAAGCAAAAAGATGATCAGAAGAAGAAGGAGCATCGTTTGAAAGACCTTGCATCCTCTTCAGATAAAGCCGATACTTCTGAAGATGACTAGCAACATTCTCGCGTGTTAACCCTTCCACATTCATCAACTGCATAATCGTTTTCGGAACCGCGTTTTTTATCCCGAGATGAGCCACAACGTCGACGAATCTCTTGTGAAGCTGCGGAGTCCACACTAAACGCGGCCGTTTCAGCGTCGTCTCTGTTCTAACCGCCGAATCCGCTTCCTCCGTAGCGGAATCGATCTTCCTATGCTTTCGCGAATCCGAACCGGAACCGTCCCGATCGGTTTCCTCTTCCATTTCTTCATCTTCTTCGATAATCTCGTCGTTGTTGGATGAGAACGTTTGTTGATTTGTTCCGCCGCCGCGGAGGATAGAGAGAGTGTTGCGGGAGGCGCGATTGACGTCGATGAGTGTACGGTGAGGCTCCGGGGAGATGCTGAAAGCGGAAGCTAGCTCCGGTGGAATCAACGCCATGGAAAGAGGAGTGAGATCGTGAAAGTTGGGTAGACCCTTTTCCCACTCCGTTACACGCTCTTCGTCTGTTCGTATCTCTTCCCCCATTCACTTCTTCTAACCGTTTCAACAAAAAAAAATTCAAATAATTAAAAAGAAAACTGTTTCTGTTTGCAAAGACAATAATTCGGGTCAGGTTGAATTTGGATCCAGAAATCCAGAAACTCAAAAGGGTTGGGTTGGATTGGATGAATGAAAGAAGAAGGAATAAATTGAATGGGGAAGATGAGAGATGAAAACGGAATAATAATTAATGATAAAGAGAAAGGGAAACTAGATATTTTTTGAGATTCGGCAGTGTGTGTTTTTGGGCAAAGAGATGAAAGAAAGAACGAAAAGATAATAATGAAGGAGGAACTGAAGTGAGTTTTAATTTTGATTACTAATAATGATAATTATAATATTTTAATAGTAATTTTGAGGAAATTATGAAAACAGTGAGAGGAAAAGTACAATATTTTATTCGTCAGCCAAGTGGCGGTGCCAACGTGTACCATTTAACCAGATATTTTTTATCCTTCCACTCATAAATATCTTTCTTCATCTCTTTTTTCTATTGCAATTACATTATTTATTTTATTTTATTTTATTTTATTAAATTTCCTACTATTTTAAAAGAGTAAGCAATTTTATTTGAGGGAAATTATAACATTTACAAGTATCTTTATGCATTTAATAAAATTATAACATATATATTAGTATTTTAAAATTAACTGTGTAACCGTATTTAATTAACCGTATAAAATATTTTATAAATTTTTTTTCCCTTTTATTTGATTTCTGCAATTTAATCTCGTTTATAATAAATTCCACTTTAACACAAATTAAATAGTTTTACGTCAAGAATGTTGTTTGTTTCTTATTTACTTTTTTAAAAATTTCTTGTGCTCACTGTGTATATAGCTTAGATTTAAGTTTGGAGTTCTACGCATGATATATTGTACATAAATTTATCGTACATCTTCGTGGAGATTTATGATTTTCTAACTAAAAATTTTACATAGTGTGTACATCTCATAATTTAAGATTTTAATTTTGAAAAGTATTTTTTTTTTTTAGTTTTTCTCTTCACTTATCTCTTTTATCCTTTGTATAAATTTTTTAAAAAAATTATTAAAACAACTTGCAAAGGTTTTCTATTAACTTTTCAAATGAGTGATTTTTGATGTTTTATTTCTTTTACGGTTATTAGTTGGACTGGTGTGATAAGAATAGATTTTCGTGACTTTCAACGTAGGGCAATAATGATGGTTGTAGGAAAAGAATGAGGTGTACCTACAAGACACTCCGATACTAAAGTAAATAATAAGGAGAGAATGCAAGTACAAAGTGTTTAGGTTTGTGTTAGAATGAATTGGATCAATTTGAATTTAATACCTAACCCTCTCAAATGAGAGGATATTTATAAGAATCCCCCAGCGCAGGGCCAAGGTTTTCAATGTGACCGAAATATCTGGTCGACTAATGTGAGACTGCCAGGTGAAAGATCTAGCGCGTGATCTTTGAACTAGTTCAACGGTATCCGTAAACTCCAGAGAGGCAGTTGGTCGCGTGAACTGTCAAGCGCGTAAGAAAGATGTCCCCAACAGCTATATTGCTCCCAACGACTATACTATGCCCAACGACTAGATAGTGTTAATCTCCTTGTTGGGCCTTGTCTAAAGCTGGACTGGATTGGGCCTTGCCTAACTGTGGGCCACCTGTCGGTCCAGTCCAGAACAGGAGCCATCCAAGTCGTTGTTCTTAGGTGAGGAGCAATGACTTTGAGTTACTCTCGTTGGTCGACTGATGGGCAGGAGTTGCATCGCTGGGACGCCTTTGAGACCGTTGTTTTTTAAAAAAAATCCTAGGGGACGTACCCTTCGAATGTCTCTGACTAGTGTTGTCGACTATCGTACCCCAAATTTTATCCTTAGATTCATTGATCATTCACATATTCATTTAGGTCATCATCCACACATAGCTAACAATTTTAACCAGTTTTGTTTTGTGAATTTAGGTTCATTGTTGGAAGGTCAGGAAGTCATGAAAACTTTACATGTACCTCTTATCTCCTACAGACTCCTCAGTTAATACAAGTCATTCTCCTCAAGAATTCTCAAAGATTCCCCAAAGAGGACTGAGGTTTCTTACCTCCTGGTTTTTTTAAGTTATAAGTTTGGATAAGAGAATAATGGATCAAATTTTAAGGAGCTTTCAAAGAGAAGTTCATTTGGTTCACCATTTGTTTTTCTACAAAATTCAAGGCCAAACATGTTTCAAGTTACAAGATTGTCCCATGTGATCTTCATCAAGTCTTAACCTCGAATCTAAATCCAAGACTATATTTACATTAAAGGTATTATGCATTTTTAAATGAAGGCCTAGCGGAGGATGCACCATAAGGCATCACAAGAAGTTTCATGGGTGATATGCGTTGGATTTAGAATTCATTAATCATTTTTAGGTTTTGTTGGTTTTGTTGTGTTTATAAAATTCAAGTAAGATGAACACCAACCTTCAAGATATTTTGGATTCCATTCAAGATGTAAAGGTCCCATTCTTGAATTCATGAATATTGATGAGAACTTATTTTGAATTACACTATGATTTTTGTTCATTGTGCAAGAGGTCGATTTTTACAAAAGACTTCCATATGATTGGTTTTAAGTTCCAATTGTGAGATTCAAGATTGGATTTAAAAAAAAGTGATATTATTCATCGCCATTCAAGATTCAAGTTTTCTTACTTTCATCCAAGGTGAATTTTGTTAGAACACAGATTGATGTTTAATATATCTCATTGTTTTGATGATAACATAAATGAAATTTTGCATAAAGGAAATATATACTCTAATTGTGTTTAAGTAATTTTGTTTCAGATCTTAAAGTATATATTCATCTGGAAGCAAAATTTACATTTGCAAGTGAAAAGAACGTTTAGACTCTGAGCGTCAGAAGACTCTGAGCGCTGCTTGAAGAGACTCTAATCTGCTACAGATGACTCTGAGTGAGACTAAGAAGAATTTGAGTAAGAGCGTTACATCATTGTTTCAGAAGACTCTGAAGATACTTCATGCTGCAAGTACAAAGGCTCTGATATTCAACGATGCGCTGATTGTAACATTCACGCTTTAAGCATTATTGCTGCAAGACTCTAATCTGAAGAGCAAGGAATTATATAAGAGGATCCGATGTTAGTTTATTCATTTGAAAAGATGTCATCTCAAAGAAAAGATTCGTTGCTAATCCCAACGTCTGCTCCAACGGAAATATTCCTCATTTATGCATGACACAAGAATTTAGACACAAAGCACATGTCTGAACATTCCTCTTCCTGGAAAGGAAAAGTCAATAGAGGACAAAAAGGCAACAGAGGCAGCAGAACGTACAACAATGCACAGTCTTTGAGAGAAGGACTTGAAGTAGTATTTAAACAAGCTTCAGCATCTTTCCAACGTTGACGAACATTGCGAAACTCACTTGAAAGAAAACCAACTTACAAGCTCTCATTCAAATATTCTTCAAAGCTTACAGTTTTCATATTTGTTCTTAATCTTGTGTAAACATCACTGTTGTGATATAGCTTCTTAGAAGCAATCCTTCAAACACAAATTGTTTAGTTTATCTTTGTAAAAGATTTCCTTGAGAAGACCAAGTTGTGGTCAGTTTTTCTTGAGAAGACTAAGACAGTTGTCTTAGTGGTTTACACTGTAATCAAGTTTGATATAATGGATTAAGTCCTTGTTGAGAAACACAAATCACCTGGGTAGGATGGACTGGATTAGTTTGAGTTTAAACGAACCAGGATAAAAATATTTGTGTTATTTTTTATCTACCAAAGTGTTTTTAAAACCCTTATTCAACCCCCCCCCCCCCCCTCTTCTAAGTGTTTTTCTCACCTTCAGTTGGCATCAGAGCTCCGGTTCTGAAAGTGCTCTCACTTAACCGTGACAGAAAAGATCCAGTTGAGAAAAACTCCTAATATCTTGTTCTTTATTCATCATGGCTGCTGAAGCTTCAACTTCAACTTCATACAACAACAAATACGATGATAAAGATAGAATTAGCACCAAACCTCCCATGTTTGATGGTGAGAAGTTCGACTACTGGAAAGATAGAATAGAAAGCTTCTTTCTAGGCTATGATGTTGATTTGTGGGATTTGGTAACTGATGGTTACATTCATCCTACCAATGATGAATGGAAAAAGGTTGACAGAAAATCTATGTCTGATCAACAGAAGGAGTTTAGAAACCACCATAAAGCAAGAACCATTCTGTTAAATGCAATATCTCATACTGAGTATGAGAAAATAACAAACAGAGATACTGCATTTGATATGTTTGAGTCTCTCAAAATGACGCATAAAGGAAACTCCCAAGTAAAGGAGACAAAGGCTCTGGCCCTCATCCAAAAGTATGAAGCCTTTAAAATGGAGGAGTCTGAATCTGTAGAAACTATGTTCTCAAGATTTCAGATCCTAACTGTTGGGTTGAAGGTTCTGGATAAAGGCTATTCTACTTCTGACCATGTCAAGAAGATCATCAGAAGTCTGCCAACAAGATGGAGACCCATGGTGACAGCTCTGAAGCTCGCGAAAGATCTGAATAAGATCACTCTGGAGGAATTGATCAGTTCCTTAAGGAGTCACGAGATTGAGCTGGAGGAAGACGAGCCTCAGAAGAAAGGTAAGTCAGTTGCTTTAAAATCTAACAAATCTGCTAAAGCGTTGCAGGTTATTGAAGAAAGTTCTGAAGAATCTTCAGAAGAAGAAGATGAACTGTCCCTGCTGTCCAAGAGGATTAATCAACTCTGGAAGCACAAACAAAGGAAGTTCAGAAACTTCAAAAGATCTGATCAGCGTGGTGATTCTTCTGGACATAAAAAATCTGGAAAGAAAGATATAGTGTGCTATGAGTGCAAGGAGTCTGGCCACTATAAGAATGAATGTCCCAAACTTCTGAAGGAGAAACCCAGAAGGAAGTTTGAAAAGAAGAAGAAAGTCTTAATGGCCACGTGGGATGATTCAGATGCTTCTGAATCTTCATCAGAATCTGAAGATGAGTGT